TATAGGTTCCCCCCAAAAGACAAGCCTAGGTCACACTGACCTTTGCACACACGTCGCAATTTGTGCATGAGAGTTATCTCTCGCACATGTACACGCAAAACCCTCAATAGTGTTTTGCTTCCCGATGCGGCTATCATGTGTACATGCCGTATGATGGTCTATAATGAGGATTTGGCCCTTGTCCCTTCAGGCCTACCAATCACACACAAGGGTCACACAGTCCCCTTGGCAAATTACCTAGGCATCTCCGACCTCATCAATGGGTAACTCTGTTAACCCTTCTCGGTTGTGCTCTATGCCCAGGTATCTTAGGGTTTTAGTACTCAACTGGCCTAGCTCGTCAAGCCTAGTTTGAGTCTAGACATTAAAATTGTAAACTTCAGTCCCTTTGGACCAAGCATGGAGTTAGTTAAATTTTCGTCAAGATCTAGTTCATCAAAGGCCTCATAAGCTGCCTTCCCAATTTTGAGCTGAGAATAATATTAAGTGGGAGTTTGCGAGCATTAGGGAGCAATATCCATAACTACATGCCAAGGGGATGAAGTTTCAACATTGGAAGATGAAGTTGTTGATTTGTTGTGATTGTTTGGGATCTTGAAAATCATTAGAGCTGGTCATGGTCAAAGCAAAGGGGAACATAATCCCATACAACTTTAAAAAGGCCTCATGATAAAAAATCCCAAAGGATTAGGACTTTTAGTCCTAGTAAGATAAGGGTTACTTTGAAGAATAGGATAAGGATGAAAAGCACCCAAATAAGTCACGAGCACAAGAGATAGTCATTAAGGTCCTCACAAATACGGAAAGCACCCAATATTTGCCAAATGTCACATTCACAAACTCATGGGATCCGTGCAACCTTCCCGGGGGGGTTGTGAATTTGTTTGGGTATGTTTTGTGACAAAAAATCCCAAACTAACCAAAGAACCCAAATAAGGTTTAGGATAAAGCAAACCTATAAGATTGGATCTCAAAACTCACATTTACCTAAGATAACCTTAAAAAATGTCTGCAGACAACGCATGATGCATAAGAAAATCCTCAAAGCATTCCATGTGAATTTCCTAAAAAACTGCGTATCAAAAGCATCCATATAATTTTCAGTACCAGTTCACCCAAAGAAGAGAACTAGAAGAAAAATCTTGATGAATATCAAATCATACTCAGGTGAGTACAAAACTCTTTGTAAAACATAATCAAGGTTCAAATAACCCACAAAACCAAAGTCATGAACTTTGGATGATAGACAAAGGGAGCTTTAATTTCACCACGGATGTCGATGAAGGCATTAAGCCTAGAAACCGCTGTCAAGACACAAATCATGTTGAACAATAATACAATGGCATAGAGAGCGACCCTAGAAGGCTAACAGATTGCCTAGATAATGATAAGATTTAATTTGAATTTATTTCATGCAACTCACAAAACATGTTTTCACCAAGGTTACACGGAAATTTGTGGATCTCTTGCAGACACCAAGATTTAGAGATATAATCTCAAAGTTATAAGTTAAGTTGGATCTTGCAACAAGTGGCTATTCAACCAACTCACCTTAGAGTCCTTATTGCTCTATAAGCTATGAAAGGGGGATCTTTATTCTTCTCTTATTTTTCAGGCTCATATTGACCCAGAAAATGAGAACCTGTGGAATAGTGGAAAGCAACATCCATAGTTGAGACAAGCACAAAGCATACAGACTTCAACAGCAAGAGCAGCGAAACCTCAACTAGTTCATATTCACTAGGTGAGTCTAATCAGACGGCTTGTGCTTGAGTCCACTCTCTATAATTAGACCCATTGATCAAGGTATTTCATGTTTGTACAAACGACCTTGAATGTAAATGAAACAAGATACGTATGGGAACTTAGCAGTCCTCCCCGAACCCATATTGTAATAAAATCTTGTATTCTCTGATTTGTGTTTGGTAGTCATTGGAGTCTTCTTTCTTTCTTAAATCCCTTAAGCGCACTTTTCGGGTGAATCATCTGCTTCATTAGTGAAATACATAAGACCGTTACTCATTTTGCTAAGTATGAAGTAGAAAATATTTTGCTAATTCTTATGTAGGCCACAGACGTGTTGCTGCCAAACTTTTCATACCATCATCCAACTTCATTCAAAGTGATAAATATATACAGTAAACAAGACTTCTTTCAATATGGCTATACTGGGACAATAAATAGAAGACACTACAGTTCTTGCCTGAAATGCCATAGAAACTACTGCAATAGAAACTACTGCCATAGCACCTTCACTGTATTAAGCTCAAGCATCCAAGATTCCCTAGGCAATATCAAGTGTCGTATTAGCCAAAATGAGGCTAACAGTTATACCAGCAATCCTGCCTCCAAACACCTTCAAGAGGTAAGGGATGAGACACCTCATCGATGCAACTCTGAGTACCCGCCAGGAAATATGACTATCAAAGGCAACTTAGATCTCCTAAAATATAGATATTATTATTATCAATCTAGACCGACTATGTAAGAAAAAATATTTGACTCTCTCCGTTGTGGGTATTTGGTTGTCCTCTCCCTAATAATCCACCATGATTGTTTGGGAAAGCAAAGTACAAGATAAAAGGAAAGTAAAAAAGAAACAAAAAAATAAAAAAGAAATAGGGAAATTATCAAAAATATACCTTAATTTTCGCCTAATTAAATAAAAACCTCATACTTTCATTAACCTCATCCATACCCTTGTTTCTCATTTTTGACATTTTTTTTACCAAAATAGCCTTCACGGTAGTCGTATTACTGTGAAGGCATGATGCATCACGGTACTTTAAGTATGGCAGTGCTAAAGGGCATCACTACAGTACTTTCAGTACCGTAGTGGAAAAGGGCATCATTACGGTACTTTTAAGTATCGTAATGCTAAAGGGCGACATTACAGTACTTAAAGGGCATCATGCCCACCTGGCTGACGACACTTTTGGAAAAAGACGGTGCCTTTGATTACGGTACTTTAAGTAGCAAAACTTAATTTGGATAAAAGATTTTGATGGAAAACGAAGTCTATCATTCGCAATGCAGGAATATGAAGAACATTGAGGCTGCTGAAGTAGAATAATGAGAGCATATTCAGGCCATTTGCAAGGTAGCAAATTCAATGAGGTAGAAGTGTGGACAATGCGAACCGAACTAGGAAACATGGACCCAAAAAGGAAATCGAGTATAATAGAAGAAAACTCTAGCAACATTGTCAGCTGGGACAACCGAAGAGTTGCCCTTGAAGCTGATATAATTGAAGAAATTTGGCGAAGATGCAGTAGCCTAGTTGTCTCCTTCCAATAAGGAAGGAGAATCTAACCAAGAGGCAGATGCTGTGGCAATGAAAAGTAGCCAAACAAAAGCTTGAAGTTATTGTGTTTAATGTATAGCATCAAAGTTTTTGTACATATGTTTGACTATACTTGGACTCGATTTTGTAAAGAATGGTCAATTTTGTGAAATTCTATACAACATCAATGAAATTCAATTAACAATCAAGACAGAAAAATCCATGATGTAAATGTAAATTTACAATGATGTCATATACCTCATATACAAAAATGAATCCCTAACTGCAATGTACTACGAATCAAAATATGTGACAAGGATGGTTTAAAAACTCCATTGACTTCCAATGATGGTTCAGCCGGGTGGGCATTGTTGAAGATAAGAAGAGACCAAGTCAAATTACTTAGTCATCAAGTTAGTTATTGGTGATAAGGCCTCCTATTATTTACCTCTATCTCCAAGATTCATTGTGATTGTCCTCTATATATAGAGGCACTTAATGATGTAATCCATATCCAAAATTAATGAAGATGTAGCCCGTTGGGAAAATTAACAAGTAAATTCCTGAGGAGCATGACGGTCTTCGAATAATAGGACGCCTTATCACCAATAACTAACTTAATGTAATAATAGGAGGCCTTATCACCAATACCTAACTTGATGACCAAGTACTTTGACTTGATCTCTTCTTATCTTCAACAGGTATGATGCCCTTTAGCATTGCGGTACTTTAAAATGTCATGACGCCCTTTAACATTATGCCCTTTAGCATTATGGAACTTAAAAATCCTTAATGATGCCCCTGTAGCGCCACGGTGCTTAAAGTACCATAATGAAGCCCTTAGCACTACGGTAATGAAGCCCTTTACGGCAATACGACTACCGTGAGGCTATTTTAGTCAAAATAATGCAAAAAATGAGAAAAAAAGGCATGGATGAGGTTAATGAAATATGAGGTTTTTTTCTAATTAGGCAAAAATTAATATATATTTCTGATAATTTTGCAAATAAATAAATATAGAGAATTCATAGTATATTCCGCTTTTTATGAATTAAAATATCAGATTCACAAAGATGCAAAATCAATAACAATTTAGAAATATGCAAAATCTAAAACAATAGGCAAATTGCAGCTACAGCATCCATTGCATGTTCTGGATCATAGGACTTCTTAACATTCATTTCCAGACACTGCTTATTTTCTGTTACTATCATTTCTTTTTTGTTTTTGACCTGCAGTTACTTATAACAATTTTTTCTCATTTCATTTGTGCTTTTAGACTTATGACATTTCCAGGCTTGGAACTCAGAAGACCGCGCTTCATCCCAATTTCAATTTATTTATTTTTTTATGATTGACGCTCTCAAATAACTGCTTATTGAAAAACAAATTTTCAAACCGAGAGGATGTTGGCCAAAGTTTTGGCAGTTCAATGACTCTGCTGCACATTTACCTTGCTCAACTGAAGCGAATAATTAGTGAATATTCCAGGCCTCTACAGTACCCAAAGTGAAATGGATTCACTCGCTTTAACACTCATAACATTTAAGGAACTAGAATCTAGTAGAAATATTTTCCAGAAAATAGTAATTCAACCACAATACTTCATAACCAATACGCAAGAGAACATTTAAGCCATAAAACAATCCAAAATATGTGACAGGCCTGAAACTGGAACTACATAGAAAGCGGTGATTAGCAGATAGTGTAGGAAAACCTTTCTTTCCAGGCAATTGTTTGCCATCTTTGAAGTAAAACTCTCGAATATCGACCACAACATTCCCTTGCCAGTTTCTCACAGAAACCCTCCTCGTCTTCGAAATCTAAACCCACCATAGCAAAAAGATACCAAAATAGTTACGACTAGAGAGAGATAAATGAAGGAAGAGCCACACCAAAACAGAAAAAATGCAGAGAAATAAAAGACGGTAAAGAGAGAGACAGGAAATGGAAAAGAGAAACAGACGTCGCAGACTGTGATTCCATCACTATCTTCAGTATCTTTCTTTTGCGTCTTGCGAGCTGGGGGGGCTACGCCCTCAGAGTCGCCCTCACTACCAGCGTGGTCCTCGTCCGTTTGCTTTCCCCACCTCTTCGGCATGTCTCTTCTTCAAAGGTCCTCTGCAGGAACTAGGGTTTTCTCTTTACACAATTTCTAGGGTTTGAGAAACTCGAATTGCCTGCGAGTACGGAGAAGCTGCAAGAAATGGGATTGGGGCAGCAGATATGCAGGCCTGGTGAGCGCGGGAAAGTGTAGCAACACATTTATCCACGTGTACACGTGTGGACATGCATTTCGTAAATCGAAGCATATACCGTGCACAACCAGTGGCGGTTGGTATACTTTCACGATCGGAAGGCGAATGTTTAAACTTCTCAAGAAATATATATCCTACGCATCTTGTCTAGATTATCGCATGCACTTTATTTTATTTTTTAAAAAAATTATCAAAAATATACTTTAATTTTTGTCTAATTGAAAAAATCTTCAACTTAAATAAACTCTCTTTTTTATTTTTTAAATTTTGATTTTTTTATTAAAATAACCTTTATGAAAGTTGTATTGACGTAATGATCACATTATGATACTTTAAGTACCTTTTTAATGATCACGCTAAGCATTATATTATTTTAAATACCTTAATTACTATTGTTAGAGACAGAACAAATGTCTCCACATAAGGAGTTCTTTTTTATGCTGGGTTTGATGGACTTCGAGTCTCACATTTTATTAGGGATATATTATCCTGAAGCCCTGATTAACAATTTAATTACCCTTGAGGACTATTTTTTTGAATGAGATCAATTTGCCCTATATATTGAACCTTCAAATTGAGGTTCAACCAATACCTCTTGAAAATAAAAAGGTTGAACAAATATTTGAATATAAAAATAGAAAAATTGATATCCAATTTACCCCATTAAGAAAAGTTATAATAAATATAGCTGATAACCATATCAAAATTCCCTCTAAGGTTTCATGCTCCTCTATTCCTCAAAGTTAGCATGCAAAAGATTATAAAAGAAGTACCTTAATAACTAGGCTAAGCATTACGGTATTTTAAGTATCATAATACTTATATGTGGCAAATGAGGGAGGAAGATACACATCGAACATTACAGTCTTTAAAGTATGGTAATGCTTACACTAGTCATTACGGTATTTAAGCATAATGTTTAGTCTGGTCATTACAATACTTAAAGTACTGTAATGTGGTAGCCGTTATAGTAATATGACTACTGTGAAGACTATGTTGATAAAAAAATACCAAATTTGAGAAAAAAAAAGATGTAGATGATATTTATAAAAGTTTGGCTTTTTTTATAATTAGACGACAATTAAGATATATTTCTGATAATTTTCCATTTTTTTTAGTAATTCAATGGGGAATAGAGGTTCCAACCCGTTTTACAGAGTGGATTAGGAAGTTAGCTTTTTTTTTTAAGTGTTATTAGGTGGTGTCAGTAAGATTAGAAACCTCAATGTGGTAATTAAGTATGGGGGTGCTATCACCTCGACCCCATTCCTTTCCTTCTCCACCTTATGATATATGCAAAACAATAAACATAAGGGTTGCATGCAACTTTCTATATTTGTCGTGAGTTGTATGTACAAAAGGAAAATGATTTGATAGGACTGCAAAGTAAAGTCTCACCTCAAACTTACTTAGAATTGTAATTTTGGCATGGCAAAGCCTTCAAATTTATCGCCTTGGCTTTGACCATTATGTTGCGAAAGAAAAATAAGATTTCAAAATCTAAAAATATTGTATATTGTAACAAATCATCTAGATTGCCCATTTCACTTTAAAAATAAATTTCTGTAGATCCATAAGATCTGTACTAATTTTTTATCTTCAAAAGTTATGATTGGTATTGGACATTAATTTTAGAGGTATCATGGAGGTTTCTAAAACCCAAATTGCTCTCCAGACAATGATTCAAGGTGTCACCCTTATTTTGTTTTCATAAGCCTAGGTTTTATAAAAATTGCATCTTAAATAGAATGTCATAAAATGCAAACGACTGAGCTACTCGGAATGCAAAGACGAGCACGAGGATCTCCTCGCCATGAGGTATTTGAAGCTGAATTTTGACTTTGGCCAACATGGAAGGGTGGTTTAATGGTAGACTATTGAACGAGAGGACTCTAAGTTGCTCAAAGTCGGTCTCTTCTTATCTCGGGATTATTGATACAAAAAAAAGAAAATTAAAGTTTTATAAATAATGCATCTTGTAATATAGTATCTAGATTGTATATTTTTAATATTTTCAAGTACTTATAAATCTATTCATTTTGCCACAATTTTAGAATTTTTAATTTCATAATTAAAATTGAACAAATATTTTCAAGTCATACTGAGATTTCCAATATTGAAACTACATCTTTTGACGAAACTTGGAGATGTGTCTTGCTTGTATAGAATAAGGTGAGCACCTTATATTAACCTCACCCTTTCTACAATACACAACATTAAATAGACACATAATTTATTATGTTTTTCTCTAGAAAAATACAATTTAAATACTCAAATCACCTCAAAATAAATAGGAGGTTGTTAAATCAACAATTTATCAACAAAATAGATACCCTTCAAAACTATTTTCATTTAGGCATCCCTTAAATAATTTAGCGAAATTTTTTTTCCTATTGTCTTGAGTTTGTATTCATGAACAAGTAACACTTTGATGATCGGACCTTACTTGAGTAACTTGAACCAAATGAACTAAATACTTTACTTCTTACGAGCTCCTAACCTGAACAAAGTGAGTTATTTTGGTAATTCATCTTCTCTTATAGCTATAGGGAAAGACATAAATTACCCGCTTTTTTTTAGTTCCAAACATAGAATATATTTTTTTTGACGAAAAAATCTTCTAAGTTTGTATCTTAGGCAAAAGTAACTATGTCATTTAGCTAAAGTATCTAATTATCAAAATTTATAAATCACCATTATTTGATCATGGTTCCAAACCCATAACAAAATGATATAAGCATTTTCTACCAAAACAGTACTAGAGATAGCAAGGTTATTTTTATTTTCTAAAAGATAAATCATTTAATATTCACCTATTTATTGAAGTAAATCCAACTATTATAACCCGTGATTATGCATATTTTGTTGAAATATTTGAAATCAAATAAAAATATGGGAGATGTCAAAATAGTTCGTCGTCTCATGAGTATTTTTTTTGATAAATTTCCCATTTTTTATTATTAGTAATATGTTTTAAAACAATTTTGAAAACTATTTAATTTTTTTTCGAAAAAATTACATAAATCCCTCCAAAATGGATTTTCTAATTAATTTACCCCAACCTAACTTTTCTTAACAACTTTTTTCCAAAAAATCATGTTTCCTAGCAAATATCCCCAATACAAAAAGTAAATTTTTTTTTTCACGAAAATACATTTTCCTTACCTAACAAATCATTTTCGCTGGAGAGCACGGTCTAGGGATTATTTTGCTGGAATGGGCAATCCAGCTTTTCCTTGTAGTGGTCAAGGGATTATGCTACTGGAGAAATGGGCAGTCCGGCATTTTGAAAAAGCAATCCGGTATTTTGAAGAGCCGTATGTCGTTTTTAAGAGGCAGTCGAACATTTTGAAGGGCGGTCCAGCGTTTTGAGGTGCCGGTCCAGTTTGTAGAAGTGCGGTCCTACGTTTCCTTTTATTGGGATCCAAAAATGATTTATTATGGATGGGAAAGGGTATTCCGGTAATTTTTTTTTGAACTTTTTATAGTAGGAGTATTTGCTAAGAAAAATAGTTTTTTGGAGGGAGTTGCTAGAAAATTAGGTGGGTTTAAATTGATTAGAAAACCTTTTTTTGTTTATTTTTTTTAAGGGTTTTATGCAATTTTCCCAAAAGTTTGTCTGGCTGCCCGGGAAGCAAACAAACAGTATGCTCAAAAGTAACCGAACGCGACCGCTTCCCTGTCCCACTCAAGCGTTTAACCTCTCAATTCTTTACCTGCACATAATCTCGAAACATTGGAAATAAATTACAGGCCCATCACCGTCCAATCAGAAAGTGGACAATGATAAAGAAAGAGCGTAAAGACACACGATAAATTATTGACCGGCAAAAAAGTATAATGACCATAGAATTTTGTAATCACGAGGACCACAGAGTACTTCCCCTCACCTAAACCCATATAAAGCATTTTTTTGCGAAAGCAACAAATGAACGAGATGGCTTTTGCTCCCGCTCTGCAAACGCCGTCTCAAAACACCACCTGCTCCTACCTGCACTCTCTCTCTAGCTCTGCTTTTTCTCTCTCTTCCACCAAATGCAGCTCAGCTGTTTCTCTCTCCTCTCTTTCTTCTTCTCGTTCTTCCCCCTCAAAATGCAGCTCTGCAGTTTTGCTCTCCTCGCTTTCTTCTTCTCGCTCTTCCCCCAGGCCCCTGTTTTCTTCTTCTTCGCTCTCTTTGTCTTCTGTTAAGGTGAGTGCACTTGCAATAATCATGTTCTGGTACGACGGCATTAAGTTTCTTCGCCTCATTCGTCCTGTTCTTTTTTTATTTGCAGGAAGGCCTTGATAATCTGAAGAAAAGCTTTCAGAACCTCACCAGTTTAAACCATTGGGTAGTTCGCGATTATGGTCGGTTGGTGGACTCTGTGAATTCCCTGGAGCTTCACATTCTCAAATTAACAGATGAGCAGGTCTGGTAGCTTTATTCATGACCTCTCTTTCTCTCTCTCTCTCTCTCTCTCTCTCTCTTTATCTGTGCTTTGTTAGGAAGTTAATTTATCAGGATTACAAGCTCACGGGTCCAGGGCTTCTGAGTCTCCACCTTTTCTTTTGATTTTTGAAACTGTGTCCACCGTTTTAGTCTCTATTGAACTCTATAAATGGTCTTGCTGTAGGTTACTAGTTGTTTTGTTGTTAATGGCTTCGTACCGTGTAATCCATGTCATGGTACCAAACAATAACCGGTCTGCATAGTTTAGTTAACTGAGATTTTGTATCTTGATGATGATACTTAGAGCGGTTGTATTGGCAGCTCCGTGCAAAAACTGACGAGTTTAGTCGACGCCTAAATCAAGGGGAAACTCTATCTGATATCCAAGCTGGTTGATATCACTTATTCACTCCATTTTCATTGTGTAACTCGCAATCGCGCTTGCTCATCTTTTGTTTGTTGGGTTTCTTTCCTTTCTTAAGAGGCATTTGCGGTTGTTCGAGAAGCTGCAAGAAGGAAACTTGGTATGCGCCATTTCGATGTGCAGGTAATTTATCAATTAATCATTGGTGTTTTTGCTTACTAGGTAATTAATTCGTCTCTCTCTCTCTCTCTCTTTTTCTCTCTCTGTCTTGGTTACATTGTCGTGGATAACCAAGTAATTTAAACTTTTCTTACCATGAAGTAGAGGATTCTGCTGCAGCACTCTTGACGTGTTTTTAACTTCAGATTATTGGTGGGGCTGTGCTTCATGATGGGTCTATTGCTGAGATGAAGACTGGAGAGGGAAAGACTCTTGTTTCCACCTTAGCAGGTATTACTTGTGCGCCTATTTTATCAGCCTTCTAGGCTATGTCTGCTTAGTATATGTTTGAAGAAAAAAGCAAGAGAAGTTTCATAACATACTTCATTTTCAATGCAGAATACTGATTTTGGATCATATGGTGGAGTTTTAAGTATTTTTCTTCTATTTATTTTACAGCTTACCTGAATGCACTGACAGGCAATGGCGTGCATGGTATGTATTCGTGGTTGGACAGAATTATCTTTTATGATGTGTTAATCATCATCATTATCATCCAGCCTTATCCGTCCTATCTGGGGTCACTATACGAATCCTGTTATGCTATTCCGCTCTATCAAGGGCTATACCCTCAATTAGACCATAAGTCGCCATATTTTAATGACCTGTTAATCTGCAAATAAATTTCCAATTATTGACATTGATTGTCTGCTGGAGAAAGAGTAAGTCTGCTTACAATTGTTTACTTGATGATCATTATATATGATCGTATTCATTCCTAGTCAATATTTGTATCTTATCTGTGTTGTTCCCACATGTCTTGGTTGCTACACCAATGGAACTCTTACATAGTCAATTACTAAAAGTGTTTGTGCGCATTGTATATGTGCGAGTGTTAATTGAAAAGATTGCTGATAGGCCATTTAAATGGGTGCGATAATTATTTCCCAGGTAAATAAGCCATTAGTCAAATTGTCACTGAAAATAGTAATATATACTTTATTTAACAAGCAAGTTACTACAAACTATTTAACAATTGTAACCTTCACTGCATAAGCTGGTTGGCTAGGTTATTTTGTACTCTTTTTCCTTTCAAGTTTTTGGATACATTAGCTGGCCTCGTTGACCCTCAAGTGTTGAAATATCTCTTTATATCTGTATCCCTTATCACTTTTTTTTTTTGAGTGATGTTTCCCTTATCACTTTAGTCTTTTTGTACGGTAATTACTGTTAGTCTTGGTAGTTTTAACTTTCTCCATATTAAATACTTTGCACAATGTATTCTTTATGGTTTGTGTTTTATATTAACATGATGTTGCTTGAGGAGTGATCTCCTACTATTATTTGTGGGAGTATTTCACATCTGCTTTTATGTGGCAGTGGTTACTGTAAATGATTATTTAGCTCAACGTGATGCTGAGTGGATGGGACAAGTTCATCATTTCTTAGGTCTATCAGTGGGACTTATTCAGGTTTTTTTTGTTTTAATATTTTTATTTTAATATCTAATGAAGTGAATACAGTTGAACTCATCCTTTTTTGAAGGAGGAATGATCTTATTGAATAGGTGGTTGAATTTACAGCGAGGCATGACCTCTGAAGAAAGAAGAACCAGCTATGCTTGTGACATAACATACACAAATAACTCTGTAAGTTACTGGGTTTGTTTTTTGACCTTTCTTGTTGGTTATCAGTAAGATAGCTCTTGCTGTTTAACGTCAGTTACCAAATCTTTTATTAGGATTGTCAGGAAGGCTCTAGAATTGAATGCTTGCTTGGCTCCCTGTTGTGCTTCTGAAGGCATTTTTGGTGGCTAAAGTTGGATGTAAATAGATTCTCTATGGTTTGTGTGCGTGTGTGTGTGTGTTTGTCCTTGGTTAGATCTGCTTAATGTATCCTTTGCAGGAACTTGGGTTTGATTACCTTCGGGACAATCTTTCTGAGAGTAAAGGACAACTTGTAATGAGATGGTACACTGTTTCATACAATATCATGTTGAAATCATTTTCTTTGTTAGTCATTGGCTCTTAACAATAATATCGTATCAACTACCAGGCCAAAGCCCTTTCATTTTGCTATTCTTGATGAAGTCGACTCAGTCCTTATAGATGAGGGAAGAAATCCCTTGCTTATAAGCGGTGAGGTAAATCTCTCATTGTTTTTGTGTTTATCCAAGTAATTATGGTAGTGATATCAATTGCACGTTCGTCAGGATAATGACTTTATGTTTCATTTCCATTTACTTGGTATTCAACAGGCTAATAGAGATGCGGCAAGGTATCCTGTTGCCGCAAAGGTAGCAGAGCTACTTGTTTGTGGTCATGTAAGTCTCTGAGGTCCTTTGATGCCGACTTTGTCATATTAACAGAAAGCTTTGATATTCTCATGCAAAGGATTGTTTTAGATTTCATTATTCTTATCTATAAGAGTTGGTGTTCTTTGCTTTCACAGCACTACAATGTGGAACTTAAGGATAACTCTGTGGAGTTGACAGAGGAAGGTGTTGCTCTTGCAGAGATGGCTCTTGAAACAAGTGATCTGTGGTCAGAGAATGATCCTTGGGCAAGGTCTGTACGAATTTTCCCTCCATAAGCCCTAAAAGCAACTTGTGAAGAGATATTGTTATCCATTTAATAAAGAAGCATGATTATGCCACATAAATAGACACTGTTTTGGTAAAACAGTTCAAGAGAAAATCACACAGAATATGTTGTGGCTAGATGATTTGAGTTTTTACTTACCGTTTGCGGATTTACATAGATAAAGTGACTGTAACTAAGAAAACTTAAAAAACTCAAAGTAGGTCGACCTTTTTAAGGAAATTTTCCTCTCTTTCAAGATGCAGTTGGATATCTCCAAAAGTTGTCAGAAAAAGTCCAAAAAATTGATAGCTAGTTGTAAACTCTCCATCTAAACTTTCACTCCGAATAGAAAGTAGTAGGATCTCTTCCTGGAAGTTGACTGTCACTTTGTGGCTGATGTTGACTTTCTCCTCTCTCTTCTTACCTTTTCCTTCTCCCTTGTGTTATCTTGAACGGCTAGGATTCTGCACTTGTACTTCTTGCTCTAATCTAAACGCGTTTTGGTTTGGAGGGAAAAGACAACTCTGTCTATGTTATCTCTCTTTTATTCGTTTTCCTTAAGGTTTTATACAAAATGTGTTAGTCAAATGTCAGATGATTCTTCAAAGGACAACTTGTGCCAATAGGCATACGTTGCAACAACTATGATGACCAATTGCTCAAGGCCCTGTTTGGACGGTCCAATAACTCAACTCAAGATTGTAGTTATTTGGAAATAAGTGAGACAGGTTTTTCTCCCTAGAAACTATGAACATTTGGGCAGTGTTTAATAACCGAGGGACGGAAAGGCCCATACCGTTGAATAGCAGAGCAGATCAAGCTATTTCCTATTAAACTCCTGAATGGGTGGGGGAGTGAACTGACCTATTTGTTAATAAATGATTCCTCCAAATGGGGTATAAGACTTAGGGTGGTTTACTTGTAGGGTTTGGAGGTTTAATTCTTCTGAACGGGATCACTTGATCTATGTTTGATAATATACAAATATTCTGAAGATACGATACAAATGTTCTGCATTTTAGAGTATGAGAACTAATTGTATTGTTCAGCGAGAGTGCAATGGTTATCTGTTGAATGGATTTTTTTGCGCAGTTGATCGATCTTAAGAAACTTAGTCCAAAATAGGATATGAGTTTCTATTCGATTCATGTCTATTTGATGTTGTTCTTTTTGCAAGGAGTTTTTTTACAAACACTGTCCTCAATACTAATTGTTGTCAAAATTTCCTTTTGAAAGCCTTACGGATTTTTAGTTCATGTCCCTTAAATTGCTATGTTTAAACTAATTTGGTGTCTAGTTTTCTTTTCCTTTTTTACCCCCCACTCTGATCTCATAGATTAGCATTTCATAAATTGCAGATTCGTGATGAATGCCTTAAAGGCTAAGGAATTCTATCGTCGAGATGTCCAGTACATAGTGAGAAATGGGAAAGCTCTTATAATAAATGAGGTAATTTACGTGTAAATTTGTCATGCACACTTTGTACCTTTTTTCAACATCGAACTAATGTGTATATACATACTGAGTCTGACTTGTTTCATTTGAAAATGTTTCTAAAATGCGATTGTACTTATGGCTCTGGTGTGATGATTCATTCGCTGAAATTTTTGTTGTATTCCATGTATCTTTCATCCAGATTTTTATATCGTCTGATTGAGATGAATTCATGATGTTTCTATATGTTGGTATGTTTTCTAATCTTCAAATAATTTAAAATGTATTTTTCCCATGAATGAGAATCACTTGCAAAAGTTCTTGCAAAAGTTCATTTCTTTTGGCACTCAAATGCTGTATTGTTTGGACAAATGTTGAAAAATGTACTTGGATTGCAGGATATCTGTCAATTGGCAGATGTGTATCACACATCCGAACATTTTTCTCTTTTAAATTAACAGAGTTAAGTGCTTAGGCAAATTGTTGATGTATCAGTTGTTTTTTCCTTACAATTTATAGTGAAAAGAGGCCCAGTTTCCTATATATATAACTTCATGTAACTAATAAACTTGATCAGTTTTTATGTTAGTAACTAATAAAATGTGTTAAAAAGCTTATAATTAAGCTAAGGATCTTGAAGTGTGGCTGAAGAATTCCTCAGCTTGAGACCGCGAGAGACAACCTTGGTATGTATGACATGGAAATGGACAATAATACATAGACATATATAGACAAACATATTACATTGTCAAATGATAAGAAAGGAATGCAAATTAACATATATTGACAGCGATATAGAACTGAGATATTAGCCTAAGGGAATTAGAACTTTTCTGCTTAAAGAGAGAAAAGCTGTGGGGAGCTTACAGAGAATGAGAAAGAAAACATCAAGTTAGAGACGACAGCTCTAGAGAGGCGGGTTCAAATGGCATGAAACGGGATGAGAGAGAGCTTAAGAGAAGAAGGTCTTATAAAGGGTATAGTGTTTGAGAGGTGTGCACTCCCAGATGGGATTGAGAAGGTGAAAGGTACTTTTAATTGGTAGTAAAGTATGGGAATTTAGGAGTTACAAGAGAGATTGGCAATCAAGTAGTTTGTGCGTTTTATGAAGCAAGAGCATGAAAGTTGTGTAATAGCCCCGATTAACTTCTGGGCGGTGACAACTATAAGTGGTGTATGGTGTAGGCTAAGTGAATAGTCTGTAATGACTATGGGTTAATCCATTCACTGTCCCTAGCAAACCCCAATTTTCAAAATAAATTGTACAGAAAATTAATCTATGCACTGTCCTTCTAAATTGTTAGCAAACCAGGGCCTCAACTCAGCAATGGGGCCTGTGTACAAAGCCTGTGCCCAGTGGGCCATGTGTAACACGGAAAGAAATTAAAGGATCCAAGCAGTCCTTCGGTATGCTTCCCCTACCCATCCACCCACTCATGCACATGCATGCACTCACTCGCCCACTCGCCAGCTCATGCATGCATGCACCAAAAAAAGAGAAATGGTATAAGTTGCATAAGTTTCCTTTTCCTTACTAATGTAAGACCAAACCCAAAAGCTTGATTTCAATGGCGCTCGCAAAAAACATGTGGAGAACAAATTTATACCCAGACATTAAAAATAAATAGCAATTTCGGGAAATAAGATGATCGTATTAAATATGATACATGTGCCATATGTGTCAAGGATACATATCTCTAGTGTCCAAAGTCCTAACGAGTATAGGGAAGTGTGATGCCCTTGTCATTGAGGATGAGAAGGTTGATTTTGAGCCAACTATTCGTTCAAATGTTTGAAAGTATAAATTTTATGCATCCTAAGCATAACAAACAAATACAATGTATTCTGTGAACGTGAAACATTGTTTTGCTTATTTATTTCTCTCCTTTTTCTGATATGTGAATGCATATACATATGCATGTCTGCATGTGTGTGTGTATGTATGTCCGCGTGCAAGTAAATTGGTTGGCAGGTATGTTGGAATATTTCTCAGTGACTCCCTGAAGTGTTTTCTTTACTCCTCGTAAGGTTTGCTTCATGCTTTTTACACGTGCAACTTAAGCGACTTGTGATCCTTGGCCACTGTCCCATTGGCAGTTCCCTTTATTTGAACATAATGCTGCAGGACCACTCTCTTGTTATCTATCTCTTAATCTGTTAAGCACTACTGTTTTGAAAATTCACACTCTTGTTTCCTCTCTCTTAAATCTGTTAAGCATTTCTGTTTTGAAAATTTACTCTTTATCTTTTGGTGTAAAATAATTCTTCCCTGTCAGTCACTAAATGATGGAGTTCTAACTTGTAGATTGAGTATATGACAGATTTGCAGCAAAATATGGATGATGTTCCTTGGGTGCCACAAGAATCTCTCTCCCCCCCCCGCTGCCCTTTTCCCTGTTTCTGTGTGCACTGTTGTTTTATTTGCTTCATTTTGGTTACGCAGTAATTTCTTGTTATATAGCTGTCAACTGAGTCCTCATAATCACATTTGACCCTTATTCTCTTTCCTTCCTATATTTGACCCTTTCTGTAGCTCACGGGAAGAGTTGAAGAGAAAAGAAGGTGGTCGGAGGGTATTCATCAAGCAGTAGAGGCTAAAGAAGGTCTCAAAATTCAGGTGCATTTCTGTGTTCTGTTCCTCCATTGAATGTGCTCTATTAGTGATACGTGGAAAATTTCCATGCTAAAATTACCTTCATTAGTTCATAACTCATACATAGCAAATTTAACAGGCAGACTCAGTGGTCGTAGCACAAATTACATACCAGTCATTATTTAAGCTCTATCCCAAGCTATCGGGCATGACGGGGACTGCTAAAACAGAGGTCTCTGACCTTAACATGCCTTTTCTTTGTGTTCTCCTTCAATGCAATAGTACGTTTCATTGAATTTTTGTTTATTTATGAATGCAGGAGAAAGAATTCTTAAAAATGTTTCAGATGCCAGTTATAGAAATTCCAACAAATCTCCTCAATATTCGCAAAGATTTGCCTATACAAGCTTTTGCTGTATGTCTTTTGCATTATTATCTTTAACTTTGTTATATGAATGTGCTCTTTCTGGATTATGTAAGAGAATTGGGTATTTGGGTGCTTATTGCATTGCTTGCTAGACTGCTCGAGGGAAGTGGGAAAATGTTCGAGAGGAGGTGGAATTTATGTTTAGAGAGGGCCGTCCCATTTTGGTTGGAACAACAAGGTAAAACTTCATCTTTGTTTTGTTGCTTACATATCACTTCAGGCAAAATTTGCAAATTTCCACGTATGAATTGTTTTTTATATTGGACACCCCCTGGTTTTCAAAGAAACCTCATTCTACATGATTGTGCATGGATCCTGCAATTTTCAGAGTTTGGAAATTGTTCTTCACTTTGTTTCTGAAATAGAATGCATCTCTTATATATAAATAAATTATACAAAACAACCAATATTCCTGTTATGTGCCAGATGCAACTACCGGTATAAATAATTAAAGCTGTTGCTCTGTTGCTACTATGTGAATGTCTCTATGACTTACGTAAACAACTTGTAAAAACAAATGTATAGCAAACTCCAAGATACAACGTTGTTTAGTTTTCGAATAAATAACTAGCAGGAATATTTTTGGTGCGCAGTAGACATCACGGCAAAACAAATTTAGTGCAAATTTTAATCAGCCAATGCAGGGCGGAGGATGTAGACATAGTAAAGGTCCAATTGCTTTGTGTGATAGCTTCTAGGACACGTGTCCATTTGTAGGGAAGTGGGGATTCTCAGGAGAAAGAGGGGAGACAGTTATTGAATATGGGCTACACGCTCACAGTAGAAATGGTGCAAAGGAATCTGTCCGATGTCCTTAGGGGTCAGTTAAGATCCTTTGAAAGGGCTTGGTGCCCTAATGCATTAGGGTTTCTGGAGTTGGGTACGATGCAAGAAGTGGATTTTGCTGGATCGGGCTTTTGATCATTGTCGAATTTCCCCACTGCTGCCCCCCGTGGGAGTTTGGGTCGTGTCTCAGTCCCAGTGTGGCTGATCATTCGAAAAGACCAGCTAAGCATCATTGGCTTGGTCGATCTATTTGAGTATACTCTGTGAATTTAGTGTTAGTGGATGGTTAAGTGCATTGGGCCTTGCAAAGGTAGTAGGAATGGCCCATCATATGGGAAATTCAAATCTTTTTGTTTTTGGGGCTGGGATTTGGCTGATATACTGTCATAGTGTTTGCTTGTTGATAGCTGGGTGCTGGCATTTGTTGACCTTGGTTTGGGCAAGTTTGGTGTGGCTTCTCCAATTGCTAAGGGAGTTGCAGAATGGTTGTATCTGCCAAAGGACTATATGGTTTCTCGTTCCCCTACTGTCTGATGTTGATATGACGGATGGTCATAAACTCATAATAGATGAGGTGTTAGAGATGGGTTATTGGCAGCATAAGGGAGGTGTTTGGGGTATCAGAATTGTCTCAGATTAGGACCAAGAATTTTTTGGCAACATGAAATCAAGGTTTAATAGGAGCTGCTCTGTGGAATTCTTGCTCCAGCATGGCTATGTCAATGCCTACCTCATGTCTGTTGGTTTTGTACTAGCAAACAAGGCAACGTTGGTTGGTAAAAGGGAGGAAATTTGTTATGTGGAAAATTGCTGGAATTTATGTTCTGTAAATGTGCGGCCCCAATGATATTTTTTGATAATGAGAAGTCATCAAGAATCCATCTTGGGAGAAGGCATATGTGAGAAACCATTTGGAATGCATGCATGCTTTATGCTTGCCCAACTGAAGATAGCCTCATTAGACAAAGGACCTTTAAGCCATAAGACTCTTTCATTATCTGGATTCTTGAGAAGTCATCAAGAATCCATATTGGGAGAAGGCATATGTGAGAAACCATTTGGCATGCATGCTTTATGCTTGCCCAACTGAAGATAGCCTCCACCATGTCTTCATTAGACAAAGGACCTTTGAGCCATAAGACTCTTTCATTATCTGGTGAAACCAGGTTGACTTGGTCCCAAGTTAAACCGAGTTGACTTTGGTCACTAGTTAAAGTTAGGAAAGTTAGAGTCTTTGGTCACTAGTTAAAGTGGGGAAAGTTAGAGAATCAATGCTTGGTTTGCTCGACTTTTCTTGTTCTTACCACAGTGACATTCTAGATGGATTAAAAGTCAATACCTTGTTTACTTGACTAGAGTTAGTAGTCTACTGAAAAGATAACTCCTAACTAAAAGATAACTATAAAAAAATAACGATTCCTATCTATTCCATGTTTTCTTCCCTCACTAAAAGATAATCCCATGTACCCAGTTAATACTAGAGATAAGCCTCCTAAAAGAACAACTCGCACCAAACAAAGCATTTATCTTTTATAAAAAAATGAACGTCCCTAAAATCTCTTTAGCACAACCCACAATTCTAAAAAAAAAACCATTTAAAATAATAATACTTTTTTTTTAAAAATTTCCTAATTTTATTTGCATCATTCTCTTGGGGCGGGAGAAGCTTGACCTCGAGCTAGAAAATTTAAACTTGATTCAAAGGGTATCCCCTACATCCCTATGCATGATTATTTCTGGAACTTGATGTTCTTCTTGAACTTCATCCACTTCTTTAGCCAATTGTACTTCTGTCTTCTTTTTTGGGCATTCATATGCACGACGTCCTGTTTCATTGCACTAATGGCAAGTAACATTCAAGGTATCCCTTTTTCTTCATTAAATTTTGGTTGGCGCAAACCTCCTTTTGGGTGAGAAACCGCTTATCATAGCTCCATTAGAATTTGGTCTCTTCATGTACAGTAATTTGAAAAGCTTCACTTTAAGTCTATGGTCGATGTAGAAAGACCTCATCTCTAATGGTTGGTTGAAGCTCATATCGAGCAACCTTTTGTCCTTTAGTCTCTTGGAGGTTGTTTGGAGCTACTAATCTATAAAATTCCTTAGTATAATCCTCCATTTTCTTTTCATTATGTCGCAAATTTTGGAGATCTTGAAAGAAAATTTGCTCATGATCCGCAGGAAGAAAATTTTCTTTCTATTTCCTTTTCATCTTTTGCCACTCAGTAATTTTTTCCTTTTCGCAGGAAGAAAGTTGTCTTTCTATTTCTTTTCATCTTTTGCAACTCAGTAATTTTCTTTGTATTTCTTTTTCTTTCTGTTTCTTGTAGCATACCCGCGGAGCTTAGATGCAACAAGTTTAACCTTACGCTCCTTTGGCAATTCACTCCACTCAATTTTTTTTTCAATTGCACTTAACCGATTAATAATTGCGGAGCTTAGTCGCAACAAGTTTAACCTTACACTCCTCTGGCAATTCACTCCACTCAATTTTTTTCAATTGCACTTAACCAGTTAATAATTGCGGAGCTTAGTCGCAATAAGTTTAACCTTACACTCCTCTGGCAATTAACTCCACTCAAATTTTTTTCAACTGCACTTAACCAGTTAATAAAATCCTCTATGTGGAGCTTGCAATGAAATTATGAGAGATTGACTTAAATACCGAAATCTCGTGGATGCTTTATAGGACGTGGATCTTGCTAGCAAATTTGTTTGTGACATTCTAGACCGGCACCCTGAGTTGGTTGTGGGACTCGATTTGTCTCTACAATGGAACTTGGTGTTGGATCTTCATAGCTGCGAGCAACCTCTTCTTGATGACCGGTGTTTTCCAATCATTGCAACCACTGATTCACTTCACCGATCTCTCCTTGAATTATTTCTATGGCTCGATTTATGCCCGTCATGTTCTCCTCCATGGCTTCGTTTATACACTCAATAATTTATGGAATTAAATCATTGGTCATATGAGCATATTTTGGTGGCATTGTGATGTTGGATCTTCTTGCTCTGATACCACTTGATGCAGAGAGAAAAATAACAAATCAAAAAATAAAAATAAAGGGTTAAGAGATTACACTCTCTCTTAGGGTTTGCACGGGCCCCAAATATCTTTTCACAAGATCAAAACACTGTCTTTATTATCCAAAACTCTACTTTTTTAAAAGGGACCTCTTTCCTTTAAGTACATGCTAAAATTAAATAATAAAAATAATAAAAACTACCAAAGACTGTCTTTCCCACGTTTTCCTTCCTCCTCCTCCTTTCCACGTCATTATCTCTCTCTCTAACCATTACGTAAAGATAAAAAGCCTCCTTACAGCTGATCTCTCTTATTTTCTTGTTACCCTTTCATAAAAGATGACTCGTGACAAAAGATAACTATAACAAGGTAATTATTATTATCTATTCCATGTTTGCTCCCCTCTCAGAAAGATAAACCCATGTGCCCATGTAAGAGATAAGCCTCCTATAAAACCAACTAACACCAAATAATAGATTTATCTTTCGTAAAAAAAATGCACCTCCCTAAAATCATTAGCACATCCCACAATTCTGAAAAGAAAAATTTACCCATCTAATATTTTTTTTGAATTTCCTTCTTTTATTTTCACCATTAGGCTTATCTCTTGTATTAACGTAAGTACATGGTTTATCTTTCAGTGGGGAAAATAATAATTTTTTTTTGAATTTCCTAATTTTATTTGCACCATTAGGCTTATCTCTTTTATTAATGTAAGTAAAAGATTTATCTTTCAGTCAGAGGAGAAAACATGGAATAGGTAATTGTAGTGTTATCTTTTTATAGTTATCTTTTAGTTAGGAGTTATCTTTTAGAAGGGTAACAAGAAAATATAAGATGCATCAATTGTAAATAGGGTTTTTATCTACGTAATGGTCAGAGAGAGAGAGAGAGATAATGACGGGGAAGGAGGAGGATATAGGAAAACATGGGATAGAGTGTCTCAAGTTTTTTTTTTTTTTTTAATTATTTATTTTTAGCTTGTATTCAAAGGGAAGAAGTTCGTTTTGAAAAAAAAAATTTTTGGACAATAGAGAAAGAGTTTGATCTTGTGAAAAGATCTTGGGGTGGACTCCTTGGCAGACCCAGAGAGGGTATAATTCTCTCATCCCTTATTTTATCTTCAATTTTTTCTGGATTATTCTTTTTTCCCCTTCATCAGAGTTTGAATGGAATAGGTTTCTCTACAGTCAGGTCATTTTAAGATATGATGAAACAAAGTAATTTACACCCTAAAGCAACTTGATGGACCTTGCATCTAAAGGCCCACCATGACACATGCTTCCATGTGGTTGGTCGTTTAGGATAAAGTCCTAACTGTAGATGACTTGCAACGTGGAGGCATCAGATACAAGTGAAGAAACTGCCAGGCATCTTTTAGTACTGCACAATTGTAAAGATATATGGTCCTTTTTTTTTTTTGGAGTTATTTGGGTCGACAAGGGTCACACCAAGCAATGTTGAGGCTTTGATCAGAGAATGGATCACTCCATATATCCAATCGAGAGGCCTAATTTTGGGGAGGATATGTATGGTGGCCATCTGCATGACCATTTGGACAGGAAGGAACAAGAGGACTTTTGAGAGTCATCAAAAATTATTTCCAGTATGAAGGAGAATATCTGGGCCAAGTAATCTCATGGGCACACATTAAGAAAGAACTCTAGGGTTGTTCAACTATAGATCTCCTCATATAAGGGGAATCCAGGACATGGACTCTTGAAAATGTAGATCATTTGCTTGTAAACCCTTCCTGAAGGGACCCTTTAGCTGAACTTTGATGGTAGCTCTTCTAGAAACCCAGGTTCCTCATGAGTGGGAGGGGTATTTTGATGCCATAGTCGTGAGGCCCTCATATATTCTCTGACCTGCTGGTGTCATTGACTCAAATGAGGCAGAGACCATCGCACTCCTTCAAGTGTCTGCCTTTTAAAGCAAAATCAGGCATTAGTAATTCTTGAAGGGGGTTCAACAAATGTTATAGAATGGCCAAAAGGTTACTAAAGGGTTCAGTGGAGGCTGGCCCAATATCTTAATGAAAATTGGGATAGATATACAGGCGTGGGGGAAATGTTTTATGCATACTTGGAGAGAAACAAATAGTTTAGTGGATACACCGGCCAAAGAGGGACGCAATAGGACAGAATTGTTTGTATCGCTGCATCTTTTGTACATCCACTTGTGGTTTCGAAACTAGGATTTTATTGATTTATGGAAAATTTTGTACATGCTCACACATTAAGAAATTTCAAGCGACTAATAAAAAAAGAAGCAAACTTTGTGTACGTAGCAGGAGTTCATGTGGTCGATTGATTCTTGCCATGTGCTAGGCCGTGAACAAGTAAATGGCCATGCCAGAATGACCAAGCTCATTGTGGTAAGGTTTGTATCATATGCTATAACTTGGGTTTCATACGGTTCGCTTGTATGTCCCTAGCTGTTGACAAGGGATGGTTGGGTTGTGTCGTTGTTCCACTGAAATATATAAAAAAATTGTTCTCTGCTGAAATACACCAAAAACATTTTCCTCTGTGAAAGTTCCTTTAGGATTTTATGGACTTCGAGCAGAGGGATGATACACCCTAATCATCTCCAGTTGATGGTGCTAGCAATTCTGTATGAAAATTTTTCATTTTATATTGCTAAACCGTGTATACTTTCATTAATCATGAAAAAATAGATGTACATAAATTATATCTATACAAAAATGAGTATGTGCATGTTCGATTCCTAAACAGTGTTCTATAACTTGGCCGAGTAGCTCGGCCTCGCCCTAGTGGCGAGGTGGGTTCTAGGCAAGTTGGGTGCCCTACTCGCACCCCACAAAAACCCCAATTTTTTTTTAAAACATTTAAAAAGATTAAAAAATAGAAATAACCAAGATATTTCTTGGAAATTATTTTTTGGATGATTTTGATAGTTTTTAGGGTGATTTGGGATCTTTCATAGTTTTCCTTTTTCTAAAATTTTCTGAAATATTCAAGGTTCTATTGTTTTCATAGTATATATAAAAAATTTCAATAGTCTATTGTTTTCATAGTTTTTTTTCATCTTAGCCTTCTAATGATTTCTATTTTGATTATTTTTTAGAAAATGTTTCCTTTTGTCTTATTTTTTTCCCCCCATTGTAAATGGGTGTGCATAACCAAGTCCACTCTGACTCAGCCAAGTTACTCGCCTTGGCCAAGGGCCGAGTACCTGGCTGAGAAAAGTCATGGAACACTGCTCCTAAATGTCAAAATGAGGCACAACTTAGGGTTCTTTTATGACACCCTCTTTCGCCAAGCGTCACACTTTTCATTGGTGGCCCTCTAGGAGTGGGTCAAGGACTTTTTAAATTTCCCTAAAAAATGTTGCTATGCCTCCAAGGGTATTTCAATTTCTTGCTGGTCTAAGCAATTACATTGTGACACTTTCTATTTCTATAATTTTCCAGTGAGGTCCAAGCTTTGCATCCTAGTGAGCAGGGCCTGAGCTTTGATCTGATTTGATTTGCAGATGGTAATGGCCCTAAGAATGTCATTAATGGTAAAAATACTTCAAGGTAATTTAATCCTACTCGTATGAACTTCCACTCCCATTCCTGGACTGAATTATTCTATCAGGTGCTCAGAATAGGCTTATGTGAATCCACCTTTGAGAAGAGGAGTGGGCAGATAGTGTACATTAAACCATTCCATTTAGATAATATATTAGTCCTGATTGTTTCTGCCTGCTAGTTGTCACTTGGTTCATTAGACTGAGGCCAGCTCATGCGTACCAGAAAGTCATTCACGTCTTTAATACTTCTTTTTTTATCTTTCTTGAAGAGGAAGCATCAATTTGGAATATGATCAGAAAGTTTCATTCTAGAATCATTGTAGAGTCCATGGAGGAGAGGCAAGCAATCTCTGGGAGGTGCTGGACTATATGTGATGCACTATTGGATTATGTCATGATATGAGTTGAAATGCAATGGGCATTTTTTGACGTTATATTCTAGTGAAATTAAATCAGTATGTGTGTGGTCAAGGATGTTTTGCTTGTTTGAGACAATCATGTTCAATTATTTTATTTCCTTAAATGTCAATTTAGGTTAAAATTTCTATCCTGAAGAATTCTGAAATATGTTAATCATTTTCTGTGTCATTAATTGGTGCAGCGTTGAGAATTCTGAATACTTATCTGAGCTTCTCAAGCAAAGGAATATTCCCCATAATGTTCTGAATGCACGACCAAAGGTCTGTCTGTATATGGTGAACATATAATACGTTTTCTGAATTTACAACAAGCTTTCTGATGTCGATGTTTCTTTATTCCATGTAGTATGCATCGAGAGAGGCAGAGGTCATAGCCCAAGCAGGACGGAAACATGCCATTACAATTTCTACTAACATGGCTGGTAGAGGGACTGATATTATCTTGGGTGGAAACCCCAAGGTGAGAGGAATCTATTCGTATTATTGTCCAGACATTGCTTATACTTACAATTTCTGTTGCATAATAACCCAGCTTTATGTTGATGCATTTTTGCTTGTAATATATGGTACTATGGGGATCTAGCACCTGGTTCTCTTTGGAATGCTTGAGATTGTTATGGTTTAAGGCTCTTATTCCCTTTACTGTAGTTATATGGGGTTCCTGTTATTGAATTGAATTAAACAGTTGCTCAAAAACAGTCAATTGAGCTGATTAAGTTTTATGTTCTTTCTTGTGTTAGTTCTTTTAGTTATTTAAATCGTTTGCGCTTTTGAAATATGGAGGTGAATGCAGATGCTTGCAAAAGAAATATTGGAGGACAGCTTGCTCTCTTTTATGAGCCAAGAAACTCCAAATGTTGAAACGGATGGAGTTCCTGTGTCACAAAAGGCAAATATTGGTTGAGGTTTACTTTTTACTTTTTCATCAATAATTGAAATTGGTCTTTAATTTTTTATTCAGATAAATAATGTACTTGCAGGGTCTGTCAAAAATAAAAATTGGACCATCATCACTAGCTTTGCTGGCAAAGGCTGCACTAACAGGTCTGTAACTCTTAAGGTTGATATTCCCTTAGAAATTGAAATGGACAGCTCCACAATATTATTGACATAGTATTCTTGCGTGGGTATTTTCTGATGCATTTTTTAATGATGTAGCAAAATATTCTAGTAAAAGTGGGCGTAAGGGCTGGACATATCAGCAGGCAAAATCGATAATTTCAGAATCGATACAAATTAGTCAGACTATGAGCATGGATGGCTTACAAGAGCTTTTAAAAGAAGAATCCGAGTCATATCAGCTTAATCCTACAATAGCTCATGCGTATATCTCTGTGCTTATGGATTGTGAGGCTCACTGTTCAAAGGAAGGGGCAGAGGTTAAAAGGTTGGGAGGGCTTCATGTGATTGGAACATCTTTACATGAGTCCCGCCGAATTGATAACCAGGTAACATGTGTTAAAAACTTAAAAATGCACAACTATTACACGTTAACGAGTAATTTTGAAAAGTACATATGCCTGTTCTTGTAAAATTGTTTGTAAGCACTACTATGAGTGGAAATGCAAATTATGGCTGAAGTTGATTATTACTTGGTGTAAGCCACATAAATAGATCATTTGAGTACACTATTTGGAGTGAGATGCTTTCTGCTTATCACATTGAATTTCCATGGTTGAACCTCACAATATTAAGGGATGGGTTTAACAAATTCCATGAGTATTTTAGTGATTCACAGGACTGTTAGATGATTGTTCATGCATAATTGTTAATTTGCATGAAATAGTATGTGGTTCTTTTTTTCCCTTTTAGGGAGCCCGTTGGTCTCATTTTCATAAGATATGTGTGGGCATGGTGAGGGACAAAGGAATTTCTGCTGAACCACCTGATCAGACAACACCTCATTTAAAACTGTTGTCATATCCCTCAAAACCTTGTTCGTTCAATTTTAAGTCATATAAACAGGCTTTTATCCTAATGCAAGAATTAGAATTAGGTTTACGATAGAGGCGAAGATTGATATACATACCTCAGCCAAGATTTGATCTTCTTAGGAGCAACAAGCTTTGAAATACCTTTTTTTATTGGGTCTTAAGTGGAGAATATCTTTTTCTGTATCAAATGATGAAAATGGTGATTGAGCTACGATAGATTACTTATTCTTTAGATGCTTGGGTGGTGAAGCGGCGGGTTTAGGAGATTTGAGAGAGTCTGATGAAAAGTATAAGAGGCTCTCTATATAAATACGTTCATAACTGTATACACATTTATTTACATGTCTTTATTGGAATAAGCGATATGTAAAATGCAAAGGACATATAGAAAATGAAAAGGATATATAGAATTTGAAAAGGGATGTATAAAAATGAAAAAAAGATTGAAAAGAATCAATGATTGCATGATACAAAATTGTTCAAAAGAAAGAATGACAACAAAGGAGATGGGGGAGAAGGAACCACAAGATTGAGAGACACCTAGACCACAAATGATCTGCCTCTCAACCTTCTCTGCTCCAACCTCTTTCACTTAGCAGGAAAATGCTCCAATTCCTCTCACAACCACTTGCACAACAGGTTTAGGTGAGAATAACAAATAGTGAGACTCTAACGGTTGGGGACCTTCCACCAAGTTATGACCACCAATCTGCTGGAAATGAAAATTGAATAATAATATAATAAAGCATTAGAGATAATCACTTAATTAGAAGAATAAACATGAGACATTATAATGAAGAATGAGTTAATAAAGAAAAAATAAATCATAAAATTAATTACCAGTTAATAAAGAAAAAATAAATCATAAAATTAATTACCTAGGAGGATTTCATCACATAAGGCAATTGCCACCGGCCCCCCAAGGGAGGTGTTTGTGCACATTTCCTTCCCAATCTTTCCTTGCATATATTTGATATGGTATGACTTTTCCACTATGGCAACAGGTCCATGGTGATCTCAGGATGAGTTGAAATTGTGGCTGTTGTTATAGAAGAATTGTGGCTTAAGATAATGAACAACTGCATATATAAGGTGGATGCAGCTGCCTATCCCATTTATCATCAATAATTTTCCAGTACTTCTCATATATGCCCTTCCTATACTTAAAAGTTCTTGTTGCCTCGGCCTTGTCTATTGCCTCATATTCCCCATGATAGGTATAGAATCACCAAGTACAATCCTCAAATCCTTCACCAAGGGCCCTATAACAAGAATTATGTTGGCAACATTGGTCCAATATAACTACTCAAAATTAATTCTACCATCTCCTTCCCACTAGTCTTCCTAGCCCAATGGAATCCCGCAACTCAATCGATGTAAACATGGATTTGAGGCCATCCATGTGCTGCGATATGCTCTTTAAAATGTGGAAGTTAGTGGCAAATCTAGTAACCCTGAGTATGTTTCCTTGTAAGATCGAGGATAAAGCTGTAGTTGTAAATAATTTTTGTTATTTCCTTTTGCCTTATCTACAACCTTTTCAACATGGGACATCTTCCCTATAGCCTTTAGATTAAAATACAGTGGGCTGCACAAGATGCCCAAAACATAGTGAGATAATGTTCTTGTAGCATTATCTGTAATGAATTGGGCCACATCATGTGTTCCCACCTCCTCAACAACTTCCCTAAACAAATTGTCTTCATGAAAGCAGTTCTTTTTGTACAACACCAGAAAATTAATTAATTGCCTTAGTTTATTTTCTTTCCACACATAAGCTATGATGGAGCATCCTTCACTCTCCAATATCTCCCTGAATGATCTTGTGTACACTCTCACCTTATCCACATTCGTCTTTAGTAATGAAGTCCTATAATCATGATAGGAGGGCCTTTATACTTTGGACCTATGGATACCACTGCATCCAACATACGCTGAAAATAGGAGTTGAGGGCGTCAAATGAGATGGAGCGACAATTCATCCCGCAAGCTACACGTGGTTGCCTGTTCTTTTGCTTTGTCCTTGGCCAACACACTTTTAATGGTTGGCTGGAAGCCAGGTGTTGTCTTAGGTGAAAAATAGTCCTCCAACCCACAACCTGGATAGGGTCTTCTAGGCTTGCTAGACGTAGAATGTGTGGAAGAAACAGGCTCTTTCTGAAGTCTCCTCCTAGCTTGAGGGGGTTCGTCATCTCCTCCCTCATCAATATCAAGAAGCTCCTCCTCTTGGGTTGGGTGAGGGTTCCCCATATCATCAACAATTTCTCGCCTCCTTTGCTTGTCAACAGCATGATGTTCGATGTTTTTCTGCATCTCGAACATCACATGAGAGGGAACCTTGGGGTTTTTGCTCATATTTTCAATTTTGTGGGCCAAATGCTTCTTAACCTAATGAATCCCTCCTCTCTTTATATGCACATATCTTCCCATTATCTCTCTTTAAGACCTATTTACATGGCCCCATGCTGGGTCTCATTACCCTTTTGTCGACCCATTCAAAACCAATTCCTAGGTCGGACATGCATGACCAACTCACAAAAAAGCAACCAAGCAACTTCACACTTCACTAGTTTACAAGAATTTCAATTTCATATCCTAAAATCAAAATAAATGCAAACAAAAACCATGGAGAGTTGTGAGGAAAAAGAGGTTAGATAACTAATAGAAATTGATAGTTCGTTATTTGTAATTTTCTAAATCCCATACAAAGTGTAGAATCCATGAAAAACTGCAAAAACAAAAAGAAATTGCTCACCATAATTTGTAAAAGCCCTTCAAGATCAAAGTAAAAACTGAAATTACAAAAAAAAAATGCATAAAGCCACAAAGTAACAAACGTTCTTTCTTAAATATATAGTTCACATTTTCTTTTTTTCTTTTTAAATTTAAAGACTTCTACGAATTATCAAAGCCCTTAAACCCCACCTCCCCCCAAAAAAACTTGTTGCTTGCACTTTTGGTTCTTAACTATTAAGGGCTTTTACAAATTGCAAAATCCCTTGAAATCGAAAACTGAAAATTTTAAAAAGAAAAGAAAAGAAAAAACGAAATGAACAAACAAGCTTTCTATTAGTGTTTTTGCATGATTGCCTGTCATTTTCTTGCATGATATCCTCTCATTTTCTCTTTTAGAAAATACTATTTTCTTGAAAGCCAGGTATGGCATTTTGAGCTGCTTCTGAAGTATTCTGAGCCCATTTTTGACATTTAGACTGGTTGCATTGCTTGATAAATGTGCAATCATACAGTAATATATTTGTTTCCAGGCCAAAAAACTATGGATATCACAGTGGTTTTAGTGCATGTCTGTGAATATGAGGATGCTTATTTATATTTTGCTAGTCTTTGAGGTGGCACAAATTCTCTTGGTTAAATGTATGTAAATGTCTCTCTCTTTTCTCATGCTTTCACTCTCTCTCTCCCCCACTTCCCCACTTCCCATCTCTCTTCCTTCTTCAATACCCACCATTTTTGTCAGTGTGGGTTTGTATAGACTACCTTTTTGGTACCATTGTATAGAGCACTTGAGTTGTGGAATGCCCCGTCTTTTAATATGTACAAATAAACTGTATAAATATAGATATACCAGTTGACCTTTCCAAAGAAGAATGTCTTTGAATATGAAGAGCACTGATAGCTTCGTATACATCATTTCCACTATTGGCTAGTTAAACAGTTTCTTCATACCCAGTTACTGTACTCGTATATTATGCTCACCTATTTCATTTTGTATTTTAATTTGCTGAGTTGTTTCCTTTTCTGTTTGTAGCTTCGCGGGAGAGCTGGAAGGCAAGGAGACCCTGGATCAACAAGATTTATGGTGAGGTATAGTTTCTAAATTTGATATATGTCTGTGACTTCCGTATTTAAAGCAATTGCTATCTGCTTTCACATGCTTTGAAATTCTCAAGATTACATTACATGCAAGAAAAAGAAAGTGATTAGGAAGATTTAACATACTTATTACTTGCCATGAACTTGGCTATGTTTCTGCCAGACCGAAGAATTATAGATTCAAGATGTTTATGAGAACTTTGGATGAAGAAATAGAATGGACTGAACATTAATTAGAAGCATCGTCATCGTGAATTGTAATCTTTCAATTAAAAGGTGTTATGTTGATTCGGATTTCCTACAAATATTTGTGGTTCATGCATTTCTTTACAACATAAAATGATTGTGGATCACAATCAAATAATAGTTGTGAACGTTTATGGCAGCAATGCAACTATCAAAACAAAAAGTTCACAGCAGCATTTCATGTGATATGTTCTGTAATCTTATTTGAAATTCTGAAAGTTCCACTTGTGTATTGGATTGATTGATGAAAAAGTTCCACTTGTATATTGGATTGACTGATACTTTTAATCTTTATTTTAGTGCCATCTTGAGATGGGTATGGGAGCAAAATATGCAGGTTTCCTTGAGGAGATCTCAGTCTAATTGCAGCATACTATTGTTAAAATATATTCAAGTATCCCAAATGATTTTGTCAAGTTACTTTGTAAATGAACCAATGTAACTGATCAATCAGAAGTATTCATTTCATGCTTGCTGTTTGATAATATTAGCTGCTAAAGTCTCCCCTTGCATGCAATGCTTTTGTTTTTAAAAGATTTAAGATTGTAGAGGGAGGGAAGGCATTTAAGTTGTCAATGAATAAAGAAGGCGTGTCCACCCTGTCACAAGCCTAAGAATTTGTTTCTGAATTAGTCTCATGACAAATGTGCTGAAACCTGGAACTACATCCTTGAGCAATCATCAAGGTCCTTAAACTTCTCAAAAACGTCTGCCAGCTGATAAGTACAATGGGATTCTCTTTCCATGCAACTAATGGTGTTGAGGGTGTCAACCTCCGTCAATGGACCTGGACATAACTATGGAAGATCCTCAATCCTATGAGAAGGGCCCCAGCCCTCTCTCTCCACCGAGTCAGGCATCCCTACTCAGATCTGAGTAGAATTTGAGCACCCTCCCTGTTTCATCTCTGAGAATGCTCCCCCCCTGAAAGGAATTTGGATTCCTTAAATAGCTCCAATTAAAATAGAAGTATCAAGATCAAGATGGTGGAGGATCCATACTATCCTAAGGCTGACTTGCCTCAGAAGTTCAGAGCTGGCCATTATAGCTTAATGGAATGGCACTGGTGAACCATTGGAATGTCTCTGAAATAGTCATGTACAGTGTCATTGAGATAACAGCTTGACATATATGTTCCTGTAACACAGATGCCCTGGACTGTTATCCTCCAAAAATCCTGTTGTTCCTCTCTAACCAAATTCTTCATAAGCCAATGGGCAAAACCACCATAAGATGCTGCTGCGACAGCATCCTATAGGAGAAGTCTAGCTGTGGAACAGCAAACATGATCAATCTAGGTACAATTTATTGCACCTCAAACAACTCCATGAAGGAACATCAATCACCCATATGAAGAAGCGAAATAGCGAATAATTATATAAATGTCGGCATCCTCCCGCATCTTTTGACAAGGACCACATGAAAGTTGGGGCATTGGAAGCCCCGATGCCGGAGATGATCTCCAGTTAGCACATTGTTGAGATTATTCATTCCCCTGAGTGCCTGTAACTTCAGGGGTTTTGGAGAGCAACCATGCCTGCTCTGGAAGCAAAATAGTGAATAATTATATAAATGTTGTCAGCCTCCTGCTTCTCTTGACAAGGACCACATGAAAGTTGGGGCATTGGAAGCCTCGATGCCGGAGATGATCTCCAGTTAGCACAATGTTGAGATTATCCATTCCCCTGCATGCCTGTAACTTCAGGGGTTTTGGAGAGGAACCATGCCTGCTTGGCTGAATGCCGAGGCAGCATTATGCCCTCTAACACCCTAGTGATATGCTTAACTGAGCAGAGTTGCCACCATCCTGATGCTGGACTGTTTTAGCTCAAGACTCATGGAAATGCTGATAGAGTGAAAACATGCAATAAGATCATCATTAAGTTCCATTCTGCTTCTTAGATGAGAGAGGGATGTGCAATACGTTGTGGAGGCTTTGATTTGAAGGAAAGCAAACTCCCTCTTTGAAAGCAAAGGTGGCTAGTTTTTGCCTGGAGAGAACTATTTTGTCTATTCTAAACTTTTTTTAAAAAAATTTTCAATAGATAAAAGGAATTTTTGCCAAAAATTATTGGTTTCTTTTTTCACTGTTGTTATTTTAAGGTGAAGAGGGTATCTGAGGATGAAATGGCTAAAGGCCCTTGAAGTATGTATAAGACGAATGTTTTTATTTGATTTGGTATATTACAGGTTAAAGTGAAGATGCAGAGTGCTGGAGTGCACCTTATCTTGGTGTCATTCTAAACTATCTGAAATATCTATAGTATGTTTGAGCTATAACATGGAGATTTATGTTTGAGTACAAGTTTGTGAAGTAGCTTATACTTTCCATCATCAGTGGGTTTTGGACTGGTTAGACTGGAAAAATGGTTCTAATTTGGTGTAGTCTGGGTGTTTCTGATCTCTAGTGATGCCAATAAGCCTCAAGAGGCAATAATCTCCTCAAAATAGTATTTTTTTTTTTTTGTTGAGAGTGTTAACCTTCTCCTCAAAATAGTTTGCAGGATGAGATGTTTCAAAAGTTCAACTTTGACACAGAATGGGCTGTGAAACTCATATCAAAGATAACTAATGAGGAGAATATTCCAATTGAAGGTGACACGATTGTGAAACAGGTGATGCTTTTGTATTATTCTGTCCTGGGGTTGCAGGGCTGTTCCCATCCATTCTGTTTTGTTATGCTCTTTCTTGATGATATCATATTGCCAGTCATCTCAACAGTTTCACCTTATAAATTTCAGCTGTTGGCCCTACAAATAAATGCAGAGAAGTACTTCTTTGGAATAAGAAAGAGTCTTGTTGAGTTTGATGAAGTTTTAGAGGTAAAAATTCGAACTTTCTAATATTTAGTATGCTTTCTTGTGTTGACTTATCTGTATATTCTTCAAAATGATTGTGCTTACATGTTTCTATTTTTTTTTTGAGAAAAGTTAACTTTTGTATTGCTATAAAGGGTTGTAGTATAAAGCTTTTTTGAGAAAAGTTACATTTTTCTATTTTTCTCTCCTCTGTTTTGGAGTATTTTGGTTTTGCCTATTGGCTTGAATCCTATTTGCTATGTACGCATCCATTATAGGGACATCTTTTGGAATGGATTTCTTCACTATGATTTGAATTCCGAGGCCTCTATCATTGTGTGTATCCTAAGTATATTTTAGCCTACATTTGGTGAGTTTAAAAATGCTGGTCAGGTGGAAATGGCATAATTGTCACCTGAGATTTGATTGTTGTGTTGCTCTTGCTTTTATAATCTTAGCAAGTGAGAAACCAAATGCATTTATGAAAGCCGGGGCTAGTAGAGTATAAATTCAAAAAAAAAAAAAGAATTTCTTCTTTACTTTAATCTTTATTAATGCCTGGAATTTCTATTTACAATGGCCATAATACAATGCAGAAATAACAACTACTACAATCTAGGATCTTTAAATCTTACTACCAAAAAAAAAAACTTTATTCTAAATCTGAATTCGAACTTACAACTTAGGAAATAAAACAAGGACATCAAATAAATAAAATTGAGTAGACTTACTACTCTTTGTGCCTAGGGTTACCCCTTTAGGACTTGGTACACCTCACACTCGATCACCTGACCGATGGCGCACGAACTTGGTCAAAATAATCTAAGATCCCATAAAAATCTCTCAAAATATTTTCACTAAGATATCTCAAAATTTCAACTCTCTAAAAATATTTTTCAGTAATTAAAATTGGCTCCCACAAAGATTCCCAAATTAATGGAAAACATAGGTGACCAACTATGTGGGGCTTGTGGCCCATGTGGTCCCGCATCCCACATCATGTGGGCCCCACAAGTGTGGGAGCTAGACTCTTAGCCCCCCACACGAGTCCCTCAACTTCTAAATATAATTTTGAAAACACCTCCCTTGTAGAATTTTTTTAGAAATAACCTGTAGGGGTTTCTATTAATTTAAAATAGATTTAGAAAATTCTAAAAAAGGCCCAAAAATCCTAGAAACATAAATACATATGAAAACAATATTTTTAGGGTTCTTAAAAAAATTAAAATACACTAAAATACCTCTAAAAGTGGATTAGTATCAATAAGTAAAAAATAAGTGACTGTTAGGGCACTTCACCCAAGCCAGGATTTATAAAATATACTTTCTTTCATTATAAATTTGAGTTAAAGAGATCATCCATTTTATTGTAATGAATTGCATTTTAAATATCATTTGACTATATAATGAATGTAATGGATAACAAACACTCAGACATGAGACAAGTTCTTAGTACTGATGTATTTTTAATAAAACTAATGAAAAACTATAATATAATACGACTAATTTTTTGAAAAACCTACAAAACTAGCTTTTTAAGGATTTTTAGTTATTTTTTGAATTTTTTTAAAGCTGGACCTTGTCGATCTGGTCAGTCCTTCAATTTGGATTGTCAGTCTACCAATTCGACCCCAGTTTTTGGGATGGACGATCTGGGTCACCGATCTGGTTTATATATATATATATATATATATATATATATATATATATAGTAGAAGTAATAGTAGTGACACACGTACGTAGTA